GAAAATCTTTTCATTTGGAATGTTTTGTTGGCCATACGTTTTTGAATCTTTTTGAGAGATAACGTGGCTTATTGATTAGAGGGCAGATCGTTGTGTAAGGAAGGTGCGGGGTCAACTTCTGCAAATACGCTTGCTGTGTGACCTTGAGAAAGTTGTTTAATCCCCCAGTGCCCCCTGGCAACTCCAGAAGACTGGAAATTACAGGTGAATTATCCCTCTGTACCAAGAGAAAAGGTTTCTACATTGGGACTTCACTAAACTAACGAAGTCATGAGTCCACCCCCCCATCTCAGCAAGTAACCAATTAACCAATAAACATTTATTGAGTATCTGCTATATTTAAAAGGTTTAAGTGAGGGCTCATAATGAACTCTGTTTAGACTAGTTAATCCCTAGGCTAGCTGAAAGATGATTTCTTTTCAAGTTGCAGTAGATTTCCAACAGGAGCCCCCACAGAGGGCTTGATGAGTTCATCAGTAGAGGGAAGAGCCTGACGAAAAAAGCCTTGGGTCTTTGCAATAGTGTATCTAAAGTGCTAGAGTAAAGAAATTATAATGTTATGACAAAATTTATGGATAGTAAAGACTTGAAGGTGTATTTTCCTAACTGATTTTTCATCTTACTGTGACTCCTTTTTCAATTTCCCAATACCAGTATTTTCTGGTGTTTTTTTTTTTTATAGGAAACCACAACATGGAGATGTTCTCATACCGATTAGATCTCATTGTCTCATTTCTTCACTTACCCTTGAATTCGTCTCACTTTTTAATAAAGTCCCTCCTGTTCTGGAAAATGTGAATTTCCATGTTCAGGAGTTTCATGCCCTCACTTAGGGCTGATCACAGATTTAATTTCATGCAAACCTGATTGAACGTTTAAAACACAATGCACGCTTCAGGGACTTGGAGCCATTCTAATAAAATGTGTTTTTGTGGATAGAGTGGCCCCTTTTTTTTTTTTTTTTTTTTTGCTTCTTTTGTCTCTGAAGATAGAGTTGTTGTTTTTTTAAAAGTACTTTTACTGCTGGCTTTTATGCCTCATATCTTAGTATCCAAATCATAGACGCCTCTGTTGCTCTTTGTGAAACTTTGAAGGAAATGATACTCATAAGAGTGAGTTGGAATTTAATTACCTGAGATGTAATTTGCTTATGAAATTGTATATATTCAAAAAGAAAGAGCAGTTTTGAGTATCAGCCATAGAGGAGAGCTTAATAGCTTTTCAAAATACATGTGAAAGAGATTTTCCTCTAAACTGGTTATGTCCAGACTAGGAGAATTAGAATGATCTTAGTATAATATTTGACTGCATGTGTTTTTTCCCCCCACTCTGGGCCCATGATACTTTTCTTTACTATGATTTTGTAACTCCAAATTTTATCTCCCATGCCAAGGATGGGGAACCAGCAGCCTTAGAGGTCACAGGTGGCCCTCTAGGTCCTCAAGTGTGGCCTTTTGACTGAGTTCAAGTTTTGCAGAACAAATCCTTTTATGAAGGGGATTTGTTCTGTGAAGTTTAGATTCAGTCAAAGGGCTGCACTTGAGGACCTAGAGGGCCACATGTGACCTTGAGGCCACAGGTTCTCTTCCCCAGCCCGTGCCTTACTCACCGAATAGGAAAGCAGTGAGAAAAAAATGGAATATAGTTCTCAGTGATTGAAAACTTGTCCAGATTTCATGTATAAATTAAAAGGTAATAACTTTTGGAAGTTAAAATTTTTTTATAATTGTTTGAAATCATCCATCCATCTTTAGCTTAAACAGAATGTTCTTTATGATAAAGTTTATTTCTGCCTACTAATAAATCAACTTTTGGAGAAAGGAAAATGAATGCATGGGTTTGGGGGAAGAGAATAATGTGATCCGCCTTTGGAACCAAACAAGGTGCTGTAGTTTGGGAGGACTTTAGAAGTTTCTGTGGTCCCCAGTTTCTCTTTGGATAGTTTTAATGACCCAATAATACTGGATTGCTTCCAATGGTGTCTCATGGCTACTTGCAATGCCATTCAACGTTTCTAAAGAAAAGACATTGAGGATGACCTCAGTGGGCAATGGGGAGGTCAGTGGTGGCTTTGAGTAAGCTACAATGTGTTACCAGGGCATGTGGGGCAAAGGATGTTATCAGAGAAGCAACCAGCAAGTAGTTATTAAACACTTAACTTACTATGTGCCAAGCACCATGCTGGCTGTTGGGAATTCAAATACAGTGAATGAAGTATGAATGAACTCCTTACTTGAAGACGTTTTCATTCTAACTGGAGAGATAACAGGTACTGAGTATAGGCAGAATCAATGTAAAGAAAATAAATACAAGGTAGTTAAATACAAATGGGCCTCTAGGTGGCCCAGTAGATAAGCACTGACCCTGGAGTCAGGAGGACCTGAGTTCTTTTTTTTGTTTGTTTTTGCTTTTTGGTGAAGCAATCAGGGTTAAGTGACTTGCCCAGGGTCACACAGCTAGTAAGTGTTATGTGTCTGAGGCTGAGAACTCAGGTCCTCCTGACTCCAAGGCCAGAGCTCTATTCATTGTGCCACCTAGCTGCCCCAGGACCTGAGTTCTAATGTGGCCTCAGACACTCACTCACTGTGTGACCTTCAGCAATTCACTTCACCCTGTTTACCCCAGTTTCCTCATCTGTAAAATGAGCTGGAGAAGAAAATGGCAAACCACTCCAGTATCTTTGCAAGAAAATCCCAAATGGGGTCATAAAGAGTCAACTCAACTGAAACAACTCAACAACAAGAAAAGTTAAATATAAGATTGTTTGAAAGGGAGACAAATAACAGTTGGGGAAAAGGGTATTAGGAGAGGGTTCATTTGGAAGGTGGTGCATCCTGAAGAAAGATTCTGTGAGGTGGAGGCAAAGAGGGTGTCTACTCCAGTCACATGGAAACACCAATCGAAAAGCATGGGGACAAGAGACAGAGTGTTCGGGGTGAGGAACTAAGAGTAGGCTGGCTTGGCCGGGATTGCAATGGGTGGAAGGAGAGTGATATCCAATGATCCTGGCCAAATAAGATGAGGCCAGGTTGTGAAGAGCTTTAATATCCACAGAGGCAACAGGTAGTCTATTAAGGAGGAGAGTGATGTGGCCAGATCTGTACCAAGAGATGGCTTGCTAGTTATATGGAAGGTGGAGGTGAATCAGGAAAGACTTGAAGCAGGCAAAGCAAGAAACATTTATTTAGTGCTTACTGTGTGCCAAGCATGAAGGATATAAATTCAAACACAAGACAGCTTTCATTCTAATGCAAGAAAACAACTCACAAAAGGTAGTTGAAAGGGGGTAAGGCAGGGTACTCACATGAATGACGTGGTGTCAAAGACTTCGAGGGGAGCAGAACCAGGAGGGGAGTGAACAATGGCTGCTCTGGGTCCCCAGTGGGAACAGGAGAGAGAATTCCAGGGCCAGAAGGCCAAAGAGGCAAATGGATGTTCCAAAATGAAGAGAACACAGCACCAAGGGAAGTTCCAGGGTGAGACAACAGCTGAGGCATGGGGCAGTCCAGAAAGCCATAAGCAGAACCAGAAGGACACAGTTGTAATAATGTAGGGGAGAGGCGATGAGGACCTGAACTGAGGAGGTAGCTCTGTGAGAGGAGAGGAGGGGCTGGAGATGAGAAAAGATGGGAAGGGAGAAATGGCCAGATATGGCAAAGGACTGGATATATGGAGGGAGGAGAGGGAAGGAGGATTGTATGATACCCCAGTCACGTGTCAAGAATGAGGGAAAACACACGGACAGCTTGTATGCTATATGTTACCCATGAAATGTCAAAAGAATGGGCAGAAGGCCCCTAGCAGTTTGAGTGGGCCCTTGGGGTGAACTTATGGAAGGACATAGGAGAGGGTAACACAGGTTATGCAGGATGAGTTACATTATGCACATTCATGAGACCACAGATCTCATTAATTGGAGTATTATTATTAGGAGTATTACAGGAATACTGGAAATGCCATGATTGTGGGCCTTTTGTAAATACAGAAAACACTTTGCAGAAATCAATCGGTAGAATTTTAATCCTGGGAAGGATAGCCAGAAAAAAAATCTCGGTCTTTGTCTGTCTCTTTCTGCCTCTTGAACTCTATTTCTTTTCTCTGTCTCTCTCTGTCTCTTTCTGTCTCTGTCTCCCTTTATCCCTCTCTGTGACCTCTCTCTCCTTCTCCATCCCACTCCCCCCATCCTCCCCCTCCCTTTCCTCTCCCTTCTTCTTTCCCTTTCTTTTTCATTCTTTCTCTGTCTCTCTCTTCTTCCTCTCTCTCTCCCTGTCCCTTTTCCTCCCTCTCCTTCCTCATCCTTTTCTCCCTCTCCTTTTCTTTCTTACTCTTTCTCTCCCTCTTCTTTTTCTCTCTCTCCTTCTCCATTTTCCTTTCCTTATTCTTTTTCCCCTCCCTCTTTTTCCTCTCCCTCCCCTCTTCATCCTCCTCTCCCTCTCTCTTCAATTGTTCCTCTGTCTTTCCTCTTTCTGAAGTAGAATCTCATAGGTTCAAATAACTCATGGAACCATGGATGATCCAGATATGTGGAAATCTGGAGAGTCTGGGATTTCTCCTAGAGAAATCTGTCTCCTTGTACTCCCTCCTTTCATCTTGTTCCTGGCTGCCATGGCACCCTTTGATGTGGATTTCTGTCTAGCCTCCAGAACAGCCCAAATAACATAGACACTGTATACAGATCAGGACTAGCCACAAAAGAATTCCCTGCAGCTACAGCTAAGCTGGAGCTATCTGACACATCCCATTGAGCATCAGTTTAAGAGTGAATCCATACCTGTCAGTGATGCATACTCTTCTTGCGCTGTCCTGTATAATCACTAGAAGTTAATGAATATCTTAGTTCACGGCCCAAGGCATAAAGTGCTTAATGAGTGAAAGGTCATTTTATTTTTTAGGAGAGAATATATCTTAACATTTTATCCCCAGCCTAGAGCAGAGAAACCACATGCATATATTATACAAATATACTAAAATTGATTATTTTTTTCCCTCTCTTCCCCCAGGATGGCACCAAGCAGAAAAGAGAACGGAAAAAGACGGTGTCGTTTAGCAGCATGCCGACAGAGAAGAAGATCAGCAGTGCCAGTGACTGCATCAATTCAATGGTCGAAGGCTCAGAACTCAAGAAGGTTCGCTCCAACTCTAGAATTTACCACCGATATTTTCTCTTAGACGCTGACATGCAGTCTCTGCGATGGGAACCATCCAAGAAGGACTCCGAGAAAGCCAAGGTTGACATTAAGTCGATCAAGGAAGTGAGAACAGGAAAAAATACAGATATTTTCCGCAGCAATGGAATTTCTGACCAGATCTCTGAAGACTGTGCGTTTTCTGTCATCTATGGAGAGAATTATGAGTCACTCGACTTAGTGGCCAACTCTGCTGACGTGGCCAACATCTGGGTCACGGGGCTGCGATACCTCATCTCTTATGGAAAGCATACGCTTGACATGATCGAGAGCAGTCAAGACAACATGCGGACTTCTTGGGTTTCACAGTTGTTTAGTGAAGTCGATGTAGATAATTTTGGACACATGTTTCTGTGCACTGCTGTGCAGTGCATCAAAAACCTTAACCCTGGCTTAAAAACAAGCAAAATTGAGCTGAAGTTCAAAGAACTGCATAAGTCCAAGGACAAAACGGGCACTGAAGTGACGAAGGAAGAATTTGCTGAGGTTTTCCACGAGCTCTGTACCCGGCCCGAAATTTATTTCCTTTTAGTCCAGTTTTCGAGCAATAAAGAATTCCTTGATACTAAGGACCTCATGATGTTTTTAGAGGCAGAGCAAGGTGTGGCCCACATCGATGAAGAAGTCAGCCTGGAGATCATTCACAAATACGAGCCATCCAAAGAGGGCCAGGAACGGGGCTGGCTCTCCATCGATGGCTTCACTAACTACCTTATGTCCCCTGACTGCTACATTTTCGATCCAGAGCACAAGCAGGTTTGTCAGGACATGAAGCAACCTTTGTCCCATTACTTTATAAACTCATCTCATAATACCTACCTGATAGAAGACCAGTTCCGAGGCCCGTCGGATATCACAGGGTACATTCGAGCTCTGAAAATGGGCTGTCGGAGTGTTGAATTAGATGTGTGGGATGGGCCAGATAATGAGCCTGTAATTTATACAGGCCACACCATGACCTCGCAGATAGTCTTCCGAAGCGTCATTGATATCATTAACAAGTATGCATTCTTTGCTTCAGGATACCCTCTTATTCTGTGTCTAGAAAACCACTGTTCCATCAAACAGCAAAAGGTAATGGTCCAACACATGAAGAAAATTTTGGGAGACAAACTCTATACGACGTCACCCAACGAGGAAGAATCCTATCTGCCATCTCCCGACGTCCTAAAAGGGAAAATACTCATTAAGGCAAAAAAACTTTCCACCAGTTGCCCTGGGTTAGAGGGAGACGTTACTGATGAAGATGAAGGAGCAGAGATGTCTCAGAGAATAGGGAAAGAAAATGTGGAGCAGGCTAATGTGGTGCCTGTAAAACGATTTCAGCTTTGCAAAGAACTCTCTGAGTTGGTGAGCATCTGCAAATCGGTTCAGTTTAAAGAGTTCCAAGTGTCCTTTCAGGCTCAGAAGTACTGGGAGGTTTGCTCCTTTAACGAAGTGCTCGCTAGCAAATACGCCAATGAGAATCCAGGGGATTTTGTCAATTACAACAAACGTTTTCTTGCCAGAGTCTTTCCGAGTCCCATGAGGATTGATTCTAGCAACATGAACCCTCAGGACTTTTGGAAGTGTGGCTGTCAAATCGTTGCCATGAACTTTCAGACTCCCGGTTTGATGATGGACCTGAACATTGGCTGGTTTCGACAGAACGGGAACTGTGGCTATGTCTTGCGGCCAGCCATCATGAGGGAAGAGGTCTCCTTCTTTAGCGCAAACACAAAAGATTCTGTTCCTGGGGTGTCCCCGCAGCTCCTCCACATCAAAATCATCAGCGGGCAGAACTTCCCCAAGCCCAAAGGCTCAGGTGCCAAAGGGGATGTGGTGGATCCTTACGTCTACGTGGAGATCCATGGAATCCCCGCAGACTGTGCCGAACAAAGGACAAAAACTGTCAACCAGAACGGAGACACTCCCATTTTTGATGAAAGTTTTGAATTTCAGATCAACCTCCCAGAACTGGCCATGGTGCGCTTTGTAGTATTGGATGATGATTATATTGGGGATGAATTTATTGGGCAGTACACGATTCCCTTTGAGTGTTTACAGACTGGCTACCGGCATGTTCCTCTGCAGTCTTTAACTGGGGAGGTATTGCCTCATGCATCTTTATTTGTTCATGTGGCTATTACTAACAGGAGGGGAGGAGGGAAGCCGCACAAGAGGGGACTTTCTGTAAGGAAAGGGAAAAAATCCAGGGAATATGCCTCTTTGAGAACCTTATGGATTAAAACAGTAGATGAAGTGTTCAAGAGTGCCCAGCCGCCTATACGGGATGCCACAGATTTGAGAGAGAACATGCAGGTACATTTCTTGTTTCTTAAAAATCCAACCTTTGGTGTTTCCACAGAGCTCTCAGATGTATATTGTTTACACAGTTACTATGCATATTCTAGACTCAAATGATTTGTAAATGTCAATTGCATTCAAACTATTTTTCATTAATTACATATTACCCCCTATCAATCATATTTTTAAAAGTGCAATTGAATATTTTTGTGCTGAAAAATGGATAACTCATGGTACAAGTGTTTGTCTTGTCTTTTATCACAAAAGTTTGCTAATAGAGCTTTTTTTTTCCTATGAAGATGTAAATGAGAAACAGAAATGTTGTTTCTGCCTTGATGTCTGTAAATATTCCTTAATGTGAACACAACTGAACATCTCTTCAAGAGGTGCAGCAGGGCCTGTGATGTTCCTGTACCTTCTATAATGGATTCCATACTGGATGGATACAGAGTAGGAGCTCAGGAAATCATTGCTGGTTGATGGATTCATTTGGTTTGTTAACATTGTTTTAGAAGACTTTCTAAATATCTAAAAATAGATACTCATTTGTTTAAATAAAGACTATAAGGTATCTATGTTTATAGTAGGAGATAAGGTCTGCCTATGTGGAGAATATAATGGTGTCTAAAAGCAATCACGCAACAAATTATTTACTGAGCAGCTACCATATGGCTGGTGGATGGATGCTCAACTCGGCCTGAGTTCAGTGCTGCCTCTGAGGCTTACAGACTGTGTAGCCATGATGAGACTTGCAGATTGAACGATACTTCAGAGAAAACCTGGATTCAGGTTCTAGTCTTACATTTATTCCCTGGGGAGCGTTGGGCAAAAATTCACTTCTGTGAACCTCAATTCCTCACCTGTCAAATGAGGCCTAAATGACATCAAGCTCAAAATCTATGATCCTGTGGTCAAATCACTGAATCTCTCAGAATTTCAATGTCTCCATCTTTAATGTGGGGATAAGGACATCTGTAGAACCTTCTTCGTTGAGTAACTAGTGGCTCTAATCAGGCGTGTAGAATGTTTGGCAAACATCAAAGTGCCATTTAAATGTCATTTATAATTAGTAAGTACTGGGGGTTATGGAGGATAAAAAAAAATCCAAAGATCTGGGCACTGGCCAATTGTAGAGTATTCTCTGAAAGGTTAGGTACCTTAAAATAATAGAAAAATGAAATGGCCACAATGGGAAGAATTCTACAGGCTGGTAGAATCTGCTCTGTGATTTCTGCACATTTTCCTTAATTGTTTATATTCCATGCTAGCTTCTTGTTCCCTTTGTGACCTTAAAGCTAATTCTTCAATCAAGTAACATTTATTAAGTGTCTACTGTGTACCAAGCACCTGGGCCAAACAGTAATTTCTTTAAGCCTCAGTTTCCCTGTTGGTAAAATGTGTGGAAAGAACCAGATGATCCCTAAGGTCCCTTGTCGCTCTGGAGAACTCTGTTTCCATAGATCTACCAAATCTTTTATTGGTCAGTTTTCAACCATCAATCCCAGTCTTCGTTGATGGCTGTATAATCTCTTATTTAGTTGGTGAATGTTTTCTTATTTGATTTCCCTTAGAGGGAAAATATAATGAGAGGCTGTGTGGTATAATGGGTAGAGAACCAAGCCAGGGATCAGGAAGACCTGAGTTTAGGTCTTTCTTTTGACATATGCTGGCAATGTAACTCTCAATGCCTCCAAGTAATTCTGTGATTCTTAAGCTGCAGCTCTGCGTTGGTGGAGGAAATCTCCTCACTGGGAGTTCCCTACCCCAGTGAAATTGAAGGGTTGATCCAAAAAAAAAAAAAAGGAGGGGAAGAGCATACAATAAAAGCATACCCATCTTTCTTGGAGAATGGGATCTTGATTTAGTATTAGGCGTAACTGACCATAGGGTGCAGTGTGCCATGCCCCGAGGCGATGATGCATCCATTCAGGATACTGACCTACCTGAACACCATCTCTGTAGCTATTGCAGGACCCAAGGAGCAGAAAGTTATCCGGAAACAGAAAAATGGGGAAAATCCTGGCTCACTCAATTGATGGGAGTTTATTAATTTTCTCAAGGATAAGTTGGGAGCAGGGAGCACAGTCATGAATTCTTGGACAGGCAAACTGGGCAGACATTTAATTTTGTGCAAAATAGATACTTCATTAATTCATGGCACTGGGATTTTATGGGTGTGGATCTTTCCTCTGCCCACATAACTTGTTGCTTTCTTTCCATAGAGTAGACAGACTTAGAGGGTAATTGTGGCTGAAAATTTTCTCATTTTGTGGGTGACTTGATAATGAGCATCTCCTAACTCAGGCTGGGCCTTAGATGATGTACAGTGGAGGTGGCAAAAAGATACAGGGATCAGTTTGATGCTTGCATTAAATGTGACAATAAGAATCAGCCAAAAATAATTCAGAAGGATTACTTAGTCACCCCCTCCCTAAAACAAGGGTAATTGGCAAAAGTCACAATGATTACTCACTTCTGTAGGCTGTTGTTAAATATGTTTTTCTTTCTCATACCCTCGCCTATAGCTGCCAGCTCCTGCTCAGATCGACACCCCTGTTTGTACATTCATTCATAATTACCTTGCCGGGCTCAGAGTCATAGGGCCATAGATTTTGAACTTGGAGGCCATCCTGTCCATTTTACATATGAGGAAACTGAGGCCCAGGGAAGTTAAATGAGTTCCCCACTGATGTTGGCCTCCCAGCCTAACTTTAAATACTAGGAATTTATTATGACGGTGCTCCATTTAATAGATGGAAAAACTGGGGCCCAGGGAGGTTAGGTCCCTATTGATGGTAGTCTGTGACTATAACTTTAAATATTAAGAATTTGTTATGATAATGCTTATTGTTGATATTGGAGAAAGAGGTCCTGGACTTGCATAATGAATTTCCAGTATGGAAAGCCCCTTCATTGATGCAGATGGGCAAACCATCTGTCACTTAGAGTCTTAGTTGCCTGAGATCTGAAGAGGTTCATCAGGTTATCTATGTCCTATATAGGCAGTTATATATGTCAGAAGTAGGGCTAAACTCAGGTTTTCTAGAATCCAAGTCTGGCCCTTTATCCACTACCCCATGGTACCTCATTATTATTCTTTATATCAGGTGTCCCCAAAGTCTTAGGGTGGTTTTAAGTATTTTAGGTATTGAGGATATCTAGTATAATACTGCTAATGGCAACAGCTCACATTTGTATAGACCTCTACCATTGCCAAAGCCCTTTCCTCACTATAACCCAATGATAGGTCATGTAAGTTGTATTATCTCCATTTTGTTGATGAGAAAACTGAGAGCTGACTTCCTCGATGTCATTTGGCTAAGTTTCTGAGCCAAGACTCATCCTCAGGCTCAGTGTGCTTTCTCTGTCCCATGCTCTGCCTCTCGTCACAAGGTATCCTTGAGTTTTCTTAAATGGATGTTCTTGTGGTATGCCTCTAGTGATCTGAAAGGAGGACCTAAAGACCTTTGGGAACACAAATGAGAGTTTACAGAGGACCAGAAGGAAGATGAGTTAGCTCAGAAAGCCAAGGCTATGCCTCCCCGGGCTGTATGCCCATGATGGGGTCACCGGCCCACCACCTGCTCAAAGGGCATTTGGAACTGGAGCCAATGCTGGCCCAAGTATTTGTCTGTGTATTGCAGGAAATAACCCGGTGAGATTCAAATTTCTACGATACTCATTTCACCTTTCCTGTGGTATATGTGCACTTCAAACAATGGCTGACTTTTTTTTAATACACTTTTTTTTCCCCCTTGAAGGTAGATAGGAGCTAGTTTTTGTGTGTTCACACTTGTATGTCAATATTAGCATTGCTGTGAACTTTAGTCTGGAGAGGTCATGCCCTCCGGAAGAATTTTGCCTCTCTGCCTTTTTCAGTGCTTTGGAAAAGTTCCGGTTACAAATGTCCATAACTACATTTACTTTGGAAAATAGCCATTTAATTTTTTTTCTTTTCCGGATAAAATGATCGTCATCCAGTTCACTCAAGGCTCTGTTAATGACCATTATGCCAGGCCATTCGAGTATGACACGAAGTGGCCTGAAGGAGGAATGGGAAAGCATAGCTCACTGTGAAGTAACCCCTTTCTTTCTCTTTAACAGAATGCAGTGGTTTCATTCAAAGAATTATGCGGACTTTCTTCTGTAGCAAACCTCATGCAGTGCATTCTGGCCGTGTCGACACGCCTACTTGGACCGGACAACACGCCCTTGGTGGTGCTGAATCTCAATGATCAGTACCCCACAATGGAGTTGCAAGGGATAGTGCCGGAGGTTTTGAAAAAGATTGTCACCACGTACGACATGGTAAGTGGCTCTTTGGCGTTGTATGGAAGCCAAATGAGAAAGGCATTGTTAGATGATACGCCAGACATGTGGTGGAAGGGTGTGTTGAGCACTTCCCCCGTCTCATGCTTTAATTCCTGTGTTGGAAATGTTCCCATGAATATGAGGCCTTTTTTTTGTTTTGTGAGATTGGGTCTCCCAATCTGATTTGGATCTCAGTAAGACTCACGTGATTTTCCTCAATAGACAGGAGTATTGAGTATTGAGACAGGGTTGAGAGCTGAGAGAGACCTCAGAGACCATTGAGTTGGACGTCTTTTTGTAGGTGACAAAACAGATGTATAGAAAGTCAAGTGCTTTGCCCAGGGTCCACAGCTAGTGGGTGTTTGATGTGGGGTTTGAACCCCAAGGCCAGTGTTCCATCCACAGCTATAAGGTGCCTCTCAAACAGCCTATGCTAGTAAATGCAAGGGATTTCAGGAAAAGGTCCAAACAACTACCGACGTAAAGAGATCAAAAACCTTCTGTAAATTGAAAATATAATCCTTAATCCTGTGAAGCATTTGGTCCTACATTCAGTCCTAAAAAAGAAGATAGAATTCGATCACCAACCAATGCTTCTCCTGGACCCTGCCAGACTTCACTGACACAAAGACACACCAGCATCAAACCTGAGGCGTAGGGATGGTATGAAAGGGGGGGGGAAGGAAAGATGTGGTTAGAGTATTAGTGAGAGAGGAAAAGTGAAAGAGAGAGAGAAAAAGTGAGAGAGAGAGAGAGAAAGAGAAAGTGAAAGAGAGAAAAAGTCAAAGAGCCCAGGGAGAGGGAGAGAGAGAAAGGAGAAGAGAGAGAAAATGGAGGGGGAGAAAGAGAGAGAGAGAGTGTTTATACCAGCTGATGCCTTCACAGAGAGATGGAAGGTAAAATGATGTGTTGCTGTAGCAACTCCCCAGGAAGGAAGGAGGCCTGAGTGTGAACGGGGTACCCTGGGGCTGCCTCCCACCCCATCTGTTCCCAGAGAAGGGTGAGAAAAGAGAGGAGGCCTCCTGGCCAGGCACCCAGGAGAGAAGGGGGATGCAGCCTGTTCCTCCTACCTCCTGGAAGGCAGGGAATGATGAAGAGGTAACCGGGGTTCTTCCCACCATGTCCTCTCTAATCAGCTCCAGGGTAAGGAAGTCTGACAACAATGATCTCCCCCCCTCGCCCCCCACAAAAGGCTGCTCCTCATTTCTCCCTCAAAACCAGAGGCAAGATTGCTCTAACCACCCCCTCCCCATTCCCGAGTGCTAGCTGGTGCCCACGGAGTGCCTCTGGCAGCATCCCTGAGCTCCTGTGGGGATAAGCCACTTCTCCACCGGGTAGCTGAGCTCCCTTTTGGAGGCTGTCCGTCGGCTCCAAGCTTGAGAGCCAGAGGAGAGCTCGAAGGCTGTCAGGTGTAAGCCCCCTGATTTTTACAGATGAGGAAACAGGCCCAGGGAAATTAAGGTCACATGGACAGCAAGTGACCAACCTGGACTCTGAACTTGGATCCTCTGACTCCCCATCTAATACCTTTTACAGCCATGCCACACTGCCTCCCATCATGCAGTGTTTTAAGTTATGGGCATTTTCATATGGTCTTAAGGTTTTCATGGATTAACAGGTCATTCCCCATAACAATCCTGTGATTTAAGTGCTATCATCCCCATTCTATAGATGGAGAAACTGAGGCTGGGAGAGGCCAAACAACTTGCAGAGGCTTATCACTATTGCTGGGTATTAGTGTGAAGGCCTCTGATCAAAGACAAGGCTGTGTCCAGCCTGGAGTAGGGACGTGGCTATGCTATGATTTGCCCTCCTTACTTCGAAAGTCTGCGCTAATGGGCATTGTGTAGTCTAGGTAGATTATTCTAGTTTCTAGACTATCTGGCTGATGATCCTGTTATGTTCATCTTGCCTTATTTTTGTGTTATAAAATGATCAGGCAAAACATTCTGATTGAATTAAAAATTAGAGATGAGGAAATTTGTACTCTCTGATTCAGAATTCCAACAGCTCTGATGCCTTGTGCCTCTGGCTTTGTCTATTTCCTCCTTTCATTAATTCCGTCTGTTAAAATAAGTAATGAAAAGAGTCAAGATGAAACTCAAATCATCTCCACAGCCGTATTAGAAAAAAATGTCTTCTAATATTTTATGGTCATTTTTCATTGGAACATCAGTATTCATTTTTTTTTAGAAAAAAAATATTTCATAGTTTCTCTTCTTATGACAATATATTATCACCCTACAAGAGGAAAGTTAGAGTATGGTAGTGAAGAACTAGTTAAAAGAAAAGAATAAGTAGTCAAGGGCCCCTTCTTACTCCTAATAGGCTCTGGTTTCATAAAATATTGATAGGGAATGTAGAGAAGGCCTAGAGTAACCTACAGCCTTTAAAGTATGAGAATACTAGTACTGGACATTTATGTCGCATTTTAAGATTTCCAAAGCACTTTACAAATATTGTCTAATTTTATCCTCATAACAACCCCGGGAAGGAGATGCTATTTTTATCTACATTTTACAGAAGAGGAAACTATGTGAAGTGACTTCTCCTCCAGGGTCCCACAGCTCCTAAGTGTCTGAGACTGGATTTGAACTCAGGTCTTCCTGACTCCAGGCCCAGTGCTCTATCAATGACGCCAAAGAGCTGCCTAGATGCCTTTACATTTTTATTTTTTATCCTTAAGGAATTCTATGGCTCTTGATCAAAAGTTCACCTTAGAAACATTATTTCTCTCACTTTTGACATCTTACTTTTGGAAAAAGGCATTGTAAGTCTTCCCTTTGTAATATGAGGACAAAAAAGTAAAAAATCACCTGCATTCATATTACACACTAATGTTTGTCAACTTATTTCCTGCCAACAACATTGTAGGGTAGGTATTTCAAGTATCATCCCCATTTTACAGATGAGGAAACTAAGAGGTCAAGTGATACACACAACTAGGCTATGCAACCAGAAAGTATCAGTGCTTGGATTTGAACTCAGATCTCCTCAATCTTAAGTCCCATCTTGTTTTTCATGCCTCAGATCTCCTCAATTTTAAGTCCCACCTTGTTTTTCATGCCTGTATTCTGCCTCTTGACAAAAGAATATTGTGTTATAACAAAAAGACTGTGATTGGGGCAGCTAGGTGTTGCAGTGGATAGAGCACTGGACCTGGAGTCAAGAGGACCTGAGTTCAAATTCGGCCTCAGAAACGTAACATATACTAGCTGTGTGACCCTGGGCAAGTCACTTAACCCCATTGGCTAGCAAAAAAATAAAAACAAAACAACAACAACAAAAAAAAAACTGTGATTGATAATGAGCTCTATCGCTTGAATGCAAAGAATCTACTTGAATACTCCCAGGATCTAAGATTCTGTTGGTATGGAAACTTCCGTCAGTGAAGGATAACATAACCCTTGTCCTTTAACTGCCACTGAAAAAGCGATGAGCCCCTCTGAACTTGACTGGACCCATGATTCGGTCCATCTCTGGGCTCATACTCAAAACCTTTCCATCTTGATAGGCCCTGCCAAATGGAGCACATAGCACTGTCATAGCCTATAGGAACCCAAGGTACCTTCTATACCACGATGCAGCATCAGGAGACTTTATTAAGCTGTAGTAATTGTTCACCTTTTTTACAAACACGATCAAAGCCATAATCCAGCCATTTGGCTCTTTTTAGGATTTTCTGCAAACGTTTGAAGATATTACATATATTCTTGTGCCTGAATGAATCTCACTAAAGTATGGAGATCACTTGTGGAGAGGAAAACTGGGGAAATTAAGAGGTTTCATGAGATACACAACATAAAAGCTCTCTAAAGAAGAAATGGTTTCTATTTATTTTGGTTTTTTCCCCCCTGAAATTGGAGATAATGCTTCTGATTAAAGAGAAGATGAGGAATCAGAAGATGAAAAAGAGAGACATGAAAAAGAACTTAGGAGGTGTCATGAGTATAGTTAATGGGACGCTCCCAAAATGGTGAACTTGCTTCACCCCACCCAAAACCAACTGGTGTTTGAATGATATTTCCCTAGAAACCAGTTGGTCTTAATGGATACAAATCCAAATATTTTTTACCAACATATTCCCTTTGTTCTTTATTTTTTCTCCAAATGAATCCATTCCACACTTTCTTTTTCAATTTCACCTCCAATTTATTGGTGGTGACCTCTTGTAGTTTGGATCAAGAAATGATGGTGATGGTCAGTCCAATTAGCTAGTAAGGGTCATTTATTTTGTGTGTATTAAACAACTTGTGTCTTCTAAGATATTATTTGTCCAGCACTCAGCACGACTGGTGCGTAGTAGGTGCTTAATAAATGATAGTTTATTACTGACTGACTGAGAATGTTCCATTCAATTCTGAATCTCTCAGTCCTCTCTATTTACCTGTGATTTGAGTTGCTCAGTCAGTAAAACATCTCTTTATTTTCCTAGAGTAGAAACTATTTCTAAAATTAAGTGTAGAAGATGACTCTTCCCCCTTACTTATTAGCTTTGATCAGGATTCTCCATAAAAAGAAAGTACCAACGTTGGGTGAGCTCAGCCGCGTCTTGCGTTGTGTTGATTTGGCTTTATTTATTTTTTCTTGGCCTTTTTTTAATGTGCTGAAGAGAGGAATTACATTTCAGGATTCTGGTCATGTGGGCCAAACCAGAGATGGTCTGTAATAAGGTTACTCTTGATTCCTGCCTCCTTCGTGGGTTCTTTTGTCACTGGATCACTACAGAAGTCATCGTTAAAAAAGCGTCTTTTAATTGGAGGTGAAAACTTTGCCAGTCACTGGAGTGGGAATACAAAGTCTAGGGAGGTGGCTCTGCTAGAAGACAAGAGTGAACTACAGATTACTTGTGTGAGAAATGGAGTCTTTCAGTAAGGAAAGGGTGGGAGGGGTGGGGTCCTCAAAAGGAAGAGTCAGAAACCCACAAACTCTAGTTTCAGATCTTGTGGCTGGATATGGGGTGACTATCAATACAAAGAGATTTTGAAATACAATTA